CCACCTTGAAAGAGAAAAGAAATTATTTTATGTATATTCACATAAAAGTTATTGATTACATACCACGACCACCACGGAAACCACCGCCACCACCACCACCACCGCCAAAGTTATTTTGACGTGGTTCTGGACAATCACGACTTACATGACCTAAGAAAAACAAAATTTTATTTTAATTAAAAAAAATAATGTAACTAAAAAATAAACGAACCAGGTTGATTGCAATTATAGCAAACACTTTGACTACTATCAGATGGACAATCACGAGCCATATGGCCGGTTTGATTGCAACGGTAACTAAGATTAACAAGAAAAAAAACAAAGTATAATTTTCTTCAAAATTTTCTTATATAAATTTCTTACCAACGGCCGCCAGATCTATCGAATGAACCACCACCACCACCACCGCCACCGAATCCTCCTCCTCGACCTCCACCTACAATTGAAAAAATTCATATAGAATAAATATTTTTCATTAGAAATCTTTTCTTCCTCTCTTCAAAAAAACAAACAAATTAAAACACTCATTTAAGAAATTTTTCTTTAGTTAAGATAATAACTGACCATATGATCCACGTCCTCCGTACGAACCACCACCGTACGAACCTAGAAAATAAATTCAATGATTTGTTTCGAAGACTTTAAAATTCGTCGTAGAATCAAACCTCGTCCACCACCACCACCACCACCGCCATATCCTCCTCGGCCACCGCCGCCTTAAAAAGAATAAAAAGTTAGTTAGTATTTGAATTCATTTTTATATTGATTTCTTACCACTACCACCATCACCATCTGGACATTCACGAGCAAAATGACCTGGCTAAAAATTACAAAAGAATATTAGATTTATCTATTTATGTATTTATTTCTAAACTTACTTGATTACATTTATAACAAACACTTCCGCCTCTTGAACTCATCTTGATGTTACTTTAATTCTATTACCTTCCTTTCTTATCTAAAATAAAAATCGAGAAAAAAACATCCATGACTCATTCATAGTAAATTTCATTCAGGTAGATTATTATACAATACATGTGACTTACTTGTTCTTCTTTTTTAAATTAATTGAATATATAGATTAATAACTTACATTTTTTAAACAAATATGTCGATATATCAGTGGGGAGAAAAAAACGAAGGGGGAAACCTATACAGCCTCGTACTAGTAATCAACTTATCTACTTTTCACTTTGCCTGGAAGTGAGAGAAAATACCATATATTTTAATAAAAGAAAAACAACAATAAATAAGAGAAGCAAGAGAATAACGAATAAAGTGATAATAGCCAATGGAAAAATGATGACAAGTTAGAATGCCTTCGTGTATTGAAATGCATTTGTGTGTTAGTACAAAAGATATATTAGACTAATGGTTATATCAGCAGACCATTCTCTATACTTTAAATATTTCGATCAGATTTTATTTTGTTAAATTGATATCAAGAATGAATCGTTCATCAAGATTAAAAGATATTGTAAATAAAAGATCAAATCTTTGGCAAGATTCAGGAACAGATACATCATCAACATCTAATAATGATAATAGAAAAATATCAACGAAAGATAAATCATCAACTGATTCTGATACATCAAATGATGAGAATAGTGAACCAATTAGAACAAAAACTTGTTGTTTAATTTGTTCAATCTTACCAAATTTATCAAATATAAATACATGTCACAAACATTTAGCATCATTAACTACACCAATAGCACCAGCACAGGTTGTTTATATGATGCCTCCACCAATGAATAGTTGTCCGAAATCACACTGTCATTGTCGATCAAAATCTAAACGTCGTCATCGATCTAGCTCGTCTTCGTCTTCATCATCATCATCATCACGACGACCAGCAACATCATCAAAATCTCGACGTCATCGAAAAAAACGATCAATGACTCTCGTATCGTCTGTAAGACTTTATTAAATAGTTTATCAAAAAAATATAACAAATTATCTTCTCTTCAAAAGAATACTAGTAGTCAAGATGATTTATTTTACTCTCCGGATGTTCAAACTCAAGACACAACAACGACCAATAATCAACAGCATCGATCGAATAAGTTAGTATCTATACATTTTTTCTTCAAATAAAGGTCACGTTTTCATACGAACCATCTTTCTAACATAGTAATGATTATGTATAGTCAAAGAAATAGGATCGAAACTAGCGGAGAGTAAAATTTAGTTTAAATAATAAACGAGAACGAATTGTAAATAAATTGATACAAAAAATTAATTAATTTCTAATTGATAAGTTTTCTATTGATATATACAACTGTTCATATGAAACATAATTTATAAACGTTTTATTTTGTGTATCACTCTATATTTATTAATTCGATAGTAAGTGCATTGAATCGGAACAACTATGTTTAACCTTTTCATACGGACAAATCTACTGTATTAAATTTGTCAGCGCTTCGACAAAGATCTAAATAGTAATAATTTATATTTAAGTACTGAAGGCCGATTATCACCTTCACTTCCACCATCAACTACAATCAATCCAAATACTAATAATAATAATTTGCAAAAACATCAACAATTTTTAATTACATCAATTTTTCATACAACTCAACAACAAAATACCAATGAAATGTAAATTAATTCTTTTTATTTTTTTATAAAAATCGAATATTATTTCTAGAGACTCGATGTTAAAAAATACCCAAAATAAACCAATATCTCAAGAAGATTCTCCGGATATAATTATATTAGATTCTGATTCATGTACGTCATTTATTGAATAAAATTTAATAGAACAAAATTTGTTTTTTTTACTTTTAGCGTGTTCATCACCTATACCTTATAACCAAGTTGTACATGTAAAAGATGAAGGTGAATCATTAGCAGAAAATGACCATAAAACAGTATCGATTAATATGGGTCAATTAGCTGCTGAAATGGTAGATCATGAATGTCCTGAACCAGTAATATTACTTGAACGTGTATATACAGATAGATACAATCCAACATATAAATAAACTTGATTTGTTTTTGTTTCATTTTTCTCTTTCTTTCTTTTTCTCTCTCGCTCTACAGATATTTCTTTGCGTGTGTATTGTATTTCCGGATTTCATGTTGTTGTTTTTTATTGAATTTACATTAAGCTATAAACAAAAAATAAACATAAGAATAATGAAGAAATAAGAAATAGAATCTATTATACATGCTCAATCGGATTATTATTTAAATCTCTATGCATGTCAATACAAAACGCTTGTCTTTCTTAATTATAAAAATTTTATTTATGTATATATTTGCTAAATATTACATCTATTTTTAATTCAAGGTTACATTTTTCATCAATTCTTGATCTGACGATGAATTTTGATACTTAATTATAGTTGTTGAACATGATACATGATCAACAATAAGTGTTTCAACAAGTACACTTAAAGTGAAGTTACATTCATTATATTAGATCTAATTTTATTTTCCCTATGTAATTGATATGCAGAAGTATATCATTCAAATGATTTTGACCTGATTGTACTGTTTATTAATCGTTTATACGAACAAATTATAATCTACATAAATATTTTGTCTTGAGTACTGACACTTATCATTCTGATGTAATACGATACGATAGGTCAACAAAAACATACAAAGTTTGATTTTGATTCTTTTCTAATTAGTAAACTTTTTTGTTTTTCAAAACCAATCATGTGTCGTTTTTTTCTTTTTATTCTTTTATACATAGTAACCATGTCGATCTTTCTTCTCTTTTGTCGTTGTCTAGTTATATTTGTTAAAATCTTTCAAACAATCTAAATGATGTTTACTAGACGATGGTTGTGTGTGCACATCGTCGTCATCGGTTTTTTCTTTCCAATCAATTCTACTGTTCTGTTATTATTTTTGCTTTCTGCGTCTATTGAAAAAAAATCTGAAAGAAAAGTAAAATCGTGTGAACGGGTGATAGCAACAAAAAACTAGAACGAACGAAAGAAAGAAAAAGGAGAAAAAGAAAAAAGTGAGAGATTTTTTGTTACTGTCCATCAATACATCGAATCAACCATGAGTATAAAGAAAGTCAGAAAACATATATAACAAAAGAAGAAAGGAAATTGTTGTATTCAAAAAAAAAGTCATTACATAGATTCAGGTAAAAACTACTTTTTTCAAGGCTAACAGACAAAACCATGCAAGTTTGGACACATGAACTTGATACACATTTGGATCATACAGAAGATAGATCACAACTTATAAAAATTGAACAACAAGTTCTACATGAGTACAATGAAATAAAAGCAGATATTGAAGAAAATGAAGTCGCTCATGATCTTACATTTACTCGTCCATTTAGTTCTTATCTTTTACCAAAAGATCCAGCACATTATGGACGTGAACGTCGTTTATATTTAGAACGTCTTGCTCATGTTTCAACTATTCCCGATGTATCTATATTATCTGATGAATTTGAAGATGAATTAAACACATGTTCATCGACTAAAAGTGATTATTCACCAGAATCTTTACCATTACTTTTACAAACATTTTATTTAAAAAGATTATCTTCATTAACTTATGCAAAAACTTTACATGCTGTTCGTTGGAAACGTTTTTGTCGACAACAAATTGATTTTGCACAAGTTGAACAACAATTTAATGATAGATCAGCTAGAATTCTAGCTGAATTTAATGATGCATTACAACGATCACATAGATTAAGTTCTATTAGAGAAACATTATTATTACCATCTGCTGCTGCATTAAAAAATACAAATCAGGTATGACAAATAAATTGAAGATTTTTTTTTCTTTCAATTTCAACTCGTAAACAAATAAGAACACTTAAAAACTGACATTTAGTAATCCATTGAAATAGAAATATATTCTTTTCTTTTGTTTCTACCACATTGACAAAAAAAAAAGTTTTTTTTATATGCAGGAAATATTTTTATTAAAATAATAAATTCTATATCCATAGGCATAAAAATTGACAAAAGTATCATTAGATAAAATCAAAAAATTTTCATATAAATAAAATTATTTATTAATAGATACTTTGAAAGATGTGTTAATCGATTATTTGTTATTAATTAATGCAATGTAATACACATGATGATATTATTTTTCATTGATTGTTTGGATAAACAAGAATAGTAATTAATAGACATTAAAATACTTGACTTCTTTTCGAGTAGCTTTAAAGTGAACAAGATTTGTCTTTAGTAAAATATAAGATTGATGATATGTAGTGGAAAGAATCATACTCTCTTGATTGAATTTAATAATAGTTCTGTATGGCATAAAAAATAGAAAAATAAAACAAAATTATAGATGAGTTATATACCGACCTATATCATCAAAATCGCCAAAGTTTGTACGATTTAATCGCGATTTAGCACCCGATAAATCGTGACGCTATCGCCATATATTACGATTTTATCGGCAATTTTTTTCTAAAAAATCGCGTTAAAATCGTTCGAAATGACGATTCCTTTTGGATAAAGATAAAGTCATCATAAATGACAGAATTGTGATAGACTAGATGATTTAACATCATTTGATAGTGCACTATCCATGCCTCCAAAATTAAAGACTTTTTGCTGAATTTTTTTTTTTCGAAAATTCTTGATTCCTAGTAATTCCGACAAAATAACCATTTCTTACTAGCGATACAATTATCGATTTTTTTTAAAACCGAGATTAATCACCCAAACCTTGGTGATTTTGATCACATGGGGATGCATGATAATTTTTTTATCAGTAATTTTTTAATATATTATTATTGTTTTTTAATTTAGGCACTTGTAAATGATGACTATGTTGCTTATGTTCGTTATCTTGCTTGTCATTATCGTGGACAAAAATATTTCGATCAATTAAGCGAACTTATTCGTATATCACATTTAAAATTTCGTACATGTCTTTCACATGATAATCAAACTTTAACAATTAATCTTCAGCCTCCAGTATCACCATTTCAAACAACAACTGCTTTAACTCGTGTACCAACTATTGAACTTGATCAAAAACAGACAATTGAAAGATTAAATGTACTTTTTCGTCTTTATTCATTACCATTTGATACATCAAAAATTCGTACACCCGGTGATGAAATGGAATTATATGCCAATATTATTCGACAATATCGATTATTATTTGCTGATCAAGAAAAAGAACGTGTTAGTATATTATATGAATCAGCAAAACCAAAATTTATTTCTCAAGCACGACAATCACCAAGTTATAAATTAATAAAAAAAGCTTCGTGGATTAATTTTATTAGTTTAAAACCAGAACGTGATCCACAACGTGAACGTGATCATTGGAAATATATTAAAAATGGCAAAAGTGATGAATTATTAATGAAAATAACACAATTTTTAAATGTACGAAATGCTGATAAAGCAGCAAATGCTCTTAAACAATATTTACTTGCTTTAAAAGCCAAAAAAAGTACTGCATTAAAACAAGTCATAGAAAGTACAACAACAACAACAAATTCATCATCTGCAGTTGCTATGAGTGATATTTTTTGGAAAAATATTTTTGATTTAAGTTCAGAAAATGTAAATAATAACGAAGAAGATAATGATAAAGATAAGAATGTTAATGATGATTTAGATGGTAAGCTTTTTTTTTCTACTAAATATTCTTATTAAAAATTAGAAATCTTTCATGGGATGAATTTATGATATTATCTTTTTCTCAGTTTGCGAGTTTTTGATCTTCTATTCAAAATTTCTCGAATATGTCAAGTAATCCGGAAAATGAAATAAATCATCTCGAGAGGTTTTGTTGCGTGGGTATGGGTGAGGATATTGGTGTAGAAGAAGAGTAGTGTGTACCTATACATCCGCACCTACATTCACGCTCACCCACTCACTCACATCCATACCCACACCCCCCTTCACATCTTGAACACCCACAGCTACAACAACGACATCGATCGTACTGAGCTTCTCGAAGGATTCTCACTTCTGGTGGCTTAAAAGAAACAAGCCTATCAGAGTGCCTCTAATATTTCTATATCTTTTATTTGTTATGTCTTCTATCATTAATAAACTTCGAGTAAAATTCTTCCGGATTACTTGCCATCACAAATTTCTTGATCGGAACTCGTGCAACATGTTGAAATTTGTTTTTTGTTTGAAAGATCGCGTCAGAATTCAGGGCATCTCAAAATCTTTTATTTAATTCAATTTTATTTTTTTATTATATATACAAACATTAATCTAACTAGACACCCATTTTTGGAGCCATTGAACTTTTGATCCTCTTGTCTGCTAAAAAAATCTTCGGTAGAGAAATGAGCTATTTTTGACCCTTGTTTGGTTTATATTTCTGTTAAATGTCATACTAAATCCCTGAAAATTTTACGACAATCTCGCTATATAAGTTCCCACACATTCTAAAATTGTCATGCGACTTACACGCACTTAATCCGGAAATGACTTTTTGTTATGATGCTCGAGCGTCTCTCTTAAGAAAAAGTACCTGGAGAATCTGAGAGAAAAAAACACAAATTTATAAAACTTGTATTTCATATATATTTATGTTTATTCATAATAGATTCCTATGATTTTAATGATACATCTACTCGTTCTAATCGTTATATGAAACGTGATGAATTTAATTATTTGGAAACATTACAAAAACTTGGTCTTGATGATCTATCAAGTCAAACTCGTGATAATGATACAGAAAATAATGATGCATCAGAATCCTATGGTTTACAATTATCATATTTAACACTTCGATTACTTCGTATTCGTACACTTCGTAATCGTTGTTTAAATGAATTCAATTATCTTCGTTCAATCCAACGAACATTAACTATTTATGAACAACGTTTAACAATAACAACAAAAAGTAAAGATTTTCAAATAATTGATCAAAATTTTAATAATAATGTTCCACATACATATTTATTTGATACACCACATGAATGTACAATGGATACATTGAGTTATATGCAATCAGGTGAACATATTGAAAATGTTGAAGATTTTTTTCATGAAAAAATCATAGAAAATGATGGTTCAATTATACATGTACAAGATTCAGCTGGTTTACATATTATTTATGATTGTGCATTGGATGATATAAATGAACTTGAACAAGAAATTGTTTCTATCGGATCATATTTTATTGAAAAAGCTATATTAAAAAATCAAAAAAATCTTCAAGATAATGAATTTATTAAAAAAATGGATCGTTTTGAAATACTTTATAATTTATGGGAATATGAATTAAATTATTTACAATATAAACGTAAATTAATCGATTGTTTTTATGAAATTTATCAACATACATTTGATCATGATGAACGTTGTAATATAGCTCAAATCATTGTTGATATTAATGCACGTCGTCCAAGAATTGATTTTCGAAATGATGAATATTTCTCCCATTCATATTCATTAGAAATTCGTTTTCTTGAACAATATCTATCACTCATACGGGAATATTTTAATCGACATGTAGCAGATATGCGTCAAATAACTGAGAATCTTTTTGATACAACTGATTTCGGAGCATATTTTCCTTCGACACGTTCACAATCATCACCGCCAGTTTTTCTAAGTGCATCAAAAATTCATAGTTATCATTTATTTGAATTTCTTGAATCACTTTCATCATTAACACGTATACCGCATGTATTTAAAAAATCATTTAATGAACTTATTGAATTTGAACAATTACAACGACAAACAAATCTTTCTTTAACGGAAAAATTAATCTATGAACTCAGTTGCCTGGAAGATATATTATCAACATATAAACAACTTGATCAACCTGGTTCAATGTTTTCAATAAATCAACAACGTGATCTATTTAATACGTTATATAGTGATCATCCAACAATGATAAGTAAATTAGCATATGAAATATTAAAACAAGTTGATGAAGCTCGAACAACTAAAAAAGAACAATACGATAAATATTTGAAATTAAATACAAATTTAATTGAATTATTATCAGTACGGTATCGATTAATACGATCAGCAAGTGAATGTGAATTATTAACAATAATATATAAACAACAATTAGATACAATGTCAATTGATCATTCACATTTATTTTTACGTTTTATACAATTTGAATTTGCACAATCAAGAAATATACCGAATATAGATACGGAAAATGATCATATAACAAGTCAAATAGCTGATGGTCAATTAGATAAAATAACTGGACAACAACATATAACATTTGCTGTACAAGAACTTGAAGAAAGTTCAATAGGACGAATTAATTTTCGACAAAAAGATCAATGGTTAACATATATGAATGATGCAGATGAAACAATTAATAATTTAAAAATTGCATTAAAATTACAACTTATGCATAATCATTTTGTATACACCGCTATTCTTCAACATCGAATAGGTATCATATGTATTACACAACAATTACAAGCTGCAAAATCAGATGATAAACGACCAGAACAATCAAAAATATCATCAACTGGAAAACGACAAACTGCAGGTGACTAAAGAATATCTTCAATAATTCCTTTAGAAAAATTGAAGAGTTGAGGGTATTATTCTCTCGTAGAGAAGAGTCTAGCAGAAATAAATTGTTTGCTTGTATGTCCGCACTTCACTGATTTGTCCAAGACTTAGTTAAAGATATAAGAGGAATTTTTTTTATAAGGGCTGACCGAAGGGTAATCGAGGTCGTGGAATTCAAATCCGAAGTCAGTTTTTGAAATTGTTTGAATAAATAGTTTGCTGGTAGCGAAGATATATCGGTTCTACGAGAAAGAGCTGAGCGAATCTCTAAACGAGTGTTACTTGTCAGTAGTTTCATTTTCTTTTTCGTAGAGAAGAGTCTTGTAAACATAAATTATCTGCTTCATTGCTTGTGTGTCCGCACTTCACTGATTGATCGAAGACTAATCTGGAAACAAAAACGATTGATTTTCGTAAAATTTGACCGAAGGGTAATCGGGGTCGACAAACACGAATCTAACGTTAGCTTTTTTTTGACAATCACTTTGTAGACAAACAGCGGTCTTTAATCCTATTATAAATACCATTTCTACGAGCAGACCAAGTCTCCATGCAAGCGTTACTTGTTGATTATGAGAAAAATACCATTAAATCGTTGTATTGCCATGTATAATTTCATTTAATTATCAAGTCATCTGTTAACACCACCACCTAATTTAATCGATAAAATAAATTGTCAATCTATTCTATATTTTAGTGATGATGCAAACTGAACAGCCACCAAATCCTCTTCTTAATAATGTTATATATGAAAATACTCGTCGAAAATTATTTCGTGATCATTATTTTATTTCAATTCAATTTGAAAAAACTCCACATCGTAATCGTATTCTAACTGAATTTCTTCGTCAACGTGATTCAAAACCATTGCAATATCAACAAGCACGTGAAGTCGAAAAATTAAAACGTACGTTATTAAGTGATTTTATTAATCGCGTACAACAACGTAATACACTTATAATTTTACGTTTACAAATTATTCAAACATATTTAAGTTTAACTTATATTTTACATCAATTTCCATTAACAAGTCGATCACATTTTATGTGGCCAAAACAAATTTCATCAGCAGTATCAACATCAACATCATCACCATCAACAATAGAAAAAGCTGACTCAACAATATCATCATCTATTGTAGCAGAAGATAAAACTAAAAACGGTTATCAACATAAACCGAAAATATTATTTAATGCTGATGGTTCAGAACTTATAAATCTATGGTATATTCCATCATTTCTTGAACAATTAAATATATTTAAAGGTATGAAACTTGATACAAATGAATTACAAAAACGTTTACAAAATTTTTTACGTATTATATTATCATTTAATGATCTTATTCATATTATTGTTGGTTATGCACAATTAAATAGCCTAGCAGCAAATGCTGAACAACGATGTAAACATCTATTTTTCTTATATTAAAATCAAATGAATATATATCTTTGTATATTTATAGTTAGTGATCGTACAAATGAATTATCAACATTTGATCAAAGTGGAGAATTTGCATCTGAATTACATGAAATTCAACGTGAAATTCATTCATTATCATCAACATCATTATCAACAATAGCAAATTTATTAGAAACAAAAAGACGTTTAACAATATTTCAAATTTATTTTTCAATAGCATATCTTATTCCCAATTGTTTTCTTAAAGGAAAAAATCAGTCTGCATTTAATATTGTAAATTCACAATCACAACCAATTCTAAAACAATTTATTGGTAATTATGATTGCTATCGACCAGTTTATTTATTTTTACCTAATCCATTATTAACTGAACAATCATCAGCAAAAAATTTTTATCCATGGACAGTTTATGAATATCGACATAATATAAATGCTAAAAGACTTTGGTGGGCAAAATATTCATTAATTGATTTAATACATTCATGTTTAATTGGTTTGAAACCACAAGAATTAGCATTAGCAAATACAGAATATGTTTCTACACAAATTATGCTACAAAATATCGATGATATTGTTAAACCAAAAATAACAGTCAACAATATGAAAGCTATTCTACGTCAAAAAGAGGTAGATAAAAGTTATAGGGTGAGAGATGTGGTGTGGGTTTGTATGCCCCCTCTATTAGCTCACACCCACCAGTGGCGGCTTTAGGGGGAGCGATTGCCCGCCCCCCTCCAGAATTTTTTTTTGATTTTTACAGCAAAAATGAACGAAAAATACAGGTTCACTCTACTTCGATTAGACTGAAAAATAGTTCTTAGCCGAAATCAAACTCCCTACTCAAGTATCGCCCATATTTACACAGAAATCGTCCCACTCTTCCAGAATCTTAGATCCGCCACTGACACCCACACCCATCCCTCAAATATATTTGCTTTCATTAAGTCAAAATAATTTATTTATTTACAGAATGCGTTAAATATTTATTGAAAAATATTCTTTTTGATATTTTATTTAGGCACCTACGGATGATTATCTTTCAAATTATTTACGTCTTGAACTTTATATTATCGAATGTATTCGTTTTGAACTTGTTCGAAATGCTTGGTGTACAGCTAAATTAAATGTAACATCAATAAATACAGTAAAAATTTTTGATGATGGATTTATGAGTTATCGTGATGAAATTCGTAGTCAAATCTTACGACAATTAGCAATAGCTATTGGATATAGTAATTTTTATAACGATTTTCCAGTAGCTCTTATTACTGGACAATTAGCACCAAATGTAACTGAATATGAATATAAACATGCATTAATAATAAGACTATTAATGGAACTTGAAGCAAAATTTATGATGAATGATACGTTAAAAGTTTTAAAACGAGAACGAACATTAGTATTATCGGAAAGACTTCGAGAAGAAAGTAGTATACCAACAGATTTATGGAAAAAACAAACATTTGCAGAAAACTTCTCCGTATTACGACCACATATATTAGATGAATTTGTTAAATTATTATCTGATTATGAATATAAAGATGATCAATCAACACCAAATTCACCTGCTGTTATTGACAATTCTAGTATGTTAAATTTTTTTATTAGAAAATTATGACTTCAAGAATTTTTTTATGAGATTTATTAAGTTCAGTATGTAAAATGAAGATCTTTTATCTTTTACAATAGATTTTTGTTGTCTGACTAGGCAAAGAAAGAACAATACTGTCGTAGGATCTAAATTAAACATATTTTTTTTCTCGTAGAGAAGAGTCTAGCAGAAATAAATTGTTTGCTTGCCTGTGTATCTGCACTTCATTGATTGGTCAAAAAATTAGGTAAAGATATAAAAGGAATTTTTTTTATAAGAGTTGACCGAAGGATTATCAAGATCGAGGAACTCAAATCTGAACTCCTTTTCTTTTTAAATTGTTCGAATAAATAGTTCAGTGGTAGTGAAGACGCACCGTTTCTACAAGAATGAGCTGAGCGAATCTTCAGACGAGCGTAGGGATTCGCAGTTTTAGTGTAAATATTGTAAAGTTGTCACTGTCAGCACTGTAGCATTGCCTTCACTAACAGTGAATACACCCACAGCACTTTGGGCACTGCAGCACCGACTTTTACTAATATGCATAAGTCTAGGAAGTCAGTATAGAGTGGTTTAAGTCGGCGCAACAGTGCACCCACTGTCAGTGAAGTCAGTGCTTCAGTGACCAACTGATGGTGCTACCAGTATTCAGTAAACTGAAACTGCACATCCCTAGACGAGCGTTACTTGTTTTTTAATTATTACTTATTTTGTTTACTATCCAAATGATTATATGGTTTGCGAAACTGGTATTAATTTCGCTAGTGGAGTTTTATAACGAAATTTATGTTTCATTTCTATCTATTCAATGATAAAATATATATCTTTTTTCTAGAAGATCAAGATGGTACAACAGTTTCCACAATCTCTTCGAATTCATCTCAATCTCCAGATATTTATTGTATTCGTCGAAGTGATTTACAATCATGTTTAAAAGAAATGGGTAGTCGTGTAATGCAACGTGAACGTGAAAATTTTTCAAGTTATAGTACTTATTATGAAAATATTCTTTATAATATACGTCAAACAATGAATATACGTGAAAATGAATTAAAATCACTTCGTGCACAAGTACAAGATCAACAATATACAATTGAAGTTGAAGCACAATTATTAACACTTACCGCTTATTTTGATTTAATAACGGAATTAATACGAATACGTTCAGTAAATTCTCAATTACAAAATGATAAACAATTTCGTTTTGATAAAGAATTAAATCAAATACGTGAAAATTTTCATATAAAAACACAAAAATTATTAGAAACAAATCTTCAACTTCGTACAGAATTTGATAAATATCGTGAAGAATTATTTCAAAATACAATAACAATTGTTAAAGAAATCCGTCCAAAAATTCATGAATTAGCACGTACAAAATTATCATCCGATGCTAAAGCAATATCACAAGAACAACGTCATCTCCAATCAAAAGTTTTAAATGATTTACAAAATGAAATACATGATACACGATTAAAACAATTAGATGAACGAAATGAAACTGAACGTGAATGGCGTCGACGTGAAATTGAATTAGAAAAAACCATTGCACATTTACAATATGAATTAAATCATCATCAAAAACGTTATGTTTATAAAACAACTAAACAAGTTGAAGAAATTCAAACATTAAAAAAAGCAAATAATTATTTACGTAAACGTATAACAATTAATGAAGGACAATATAAGAAAATATTTGAAACAGAAAGTAAAACAGAAAATAAAGCGAATATTGAACGTATTAGTGATTTACGTCAAGCATTAAATCAAAATCAAATTATTGAAACAAAATTACGTTGTATGGAAGAAAAAAGTCATCAATTAATATTAAAAGATCATGAACTTGAAAAGAAAACAAGTGAATATGAACGTGAAAATCAAGCTATGCGTTTAGCACAAACATATGTTAAACGTGATTTAATACAAACAAAGAAGAAACTTGAACAAGAACGTTCACTTAAAATTGATGCTTTTCATCAAGTTGAAACATTACGAACAAATTTAAATGAAATTGAAGAAGAATTTGAGCAAGTTGTTTTAAATGATGGAACAAATAGTTTATTATCACCATCAATGGTTATACAACCATCACGTACAACAGTATCAGCACGACCAGTAACACCTTATCAAATACTTTTAACACGTAATCGTCCAATGACATCAAATACAATTTATCAACGTGATAAACAACAGCATCCACGTCTTCCCAATTCACGTTCACGTATTTATTCATCAACAACATTTAAACGACCACAAACAGCTAATGTAAATATTGAAAAAATTACACCATTAACAGAAGAACTTTTATCAAATCTTGGTGTATCAACACAACCAACAACAACAACATCATCATCAATTAGAATATTACGAATTAAAAGTGCTAAAACTTAACTTTATTTTTACATTTTTTAATAAAAATCAGTTTTTATAGTTCTAAATGGTTATCACATTTTAGTTTCAAAAGAATATAAAATTAAATTATATAATAAAACAAATGAAAACAAAAATGATTACTAAGCATTCTTTTGTTTTCTAATTTTTTTCAAATTTTAATTATTTGAGTTAGAAATGAATAAACGTTATTCATTGTTTATGATCTAAACTTTTAGTAAACGTAAATTTAATGATATAGACATACACAACAATTGATTATTATTTTATTATTAAAACAAACATTAATACAATACGATTTTCAAACAATTGTCTCGGCTACATTAGAATGAGAAAGTACTGCTGCTTCAGTATATTGAAAACGTATTGTAACAGCAGGCTTTCGTTTCTTCTTTTTGCCTTTTTTCTGTCGTATTCGTTTACGTTCAGTTCGAGCTGGATCAATATGAAAACCATATTTTAATATATCAAGTATAATAATAAAACTAACAAAACTTATTATCAACAGCATGCATATATAACCTATTGATTTTGAGATAACTTTTCGAGCAACTAATGTTTTTGTAGTTATCTCACAGTGACGACCAGAATAACTTGCACTTAAACATTCACAATTATAATCTTGAAATAATCCTTGACATATACCACCATTCTCACATGTTACATTTTCACAATAATTCATCATTGTTTCACAATGAATACCTTCCCACCCGTCTTGACATTCACATGTAAAATTACTATTAGATCTATTCGAACAACTACCTAAATTAAAATAATTTAGTTTTTGAATTTAGTTTTAATTAATAAAACATACCATTATACCAACAAGTATTTGGTTTACATGGTCGAGTATCAACTTCACAATAAGTACCATTAAATCCATTTAAGCATATACAACTATATCCATTGGGAACATTATTGTTATTCGTACAAGTACCTCCATTTTGACAAGGGTCAAGCATAGCACAAGAATCACTAGAAATATTGCATGTAGAACCAATATAGGATGGATATGTGCATGTTGAAGGGACAAAGATAGATAATGATGAAACTACAAAACAAGTAAAAAATAAGAAGTAAAGAATCAATCAAACTGCAAAATAAAAATATCATATACATGAAGTGGATGATATTGTTAAACTTGTTATTATTTCAGTTGTTTGGATTGGTGTTGAAGTATATATTTGTGATGAGGAAATAGAAGCTAAAATGTTTCATACTGAAAACATATGTTAAATAGGAGAATAACTAACCTATCATTGTTTGATTTGTTGTCATTGTTGTTGTTGTGGTTGTTGTTGTTGTGGTTGTTGTTGTTGTGGTT